TAGCTCATCTTTATCAAGGCTACTGAAGTCGACCGGCGGTTTTCTAAGACATTGCCTTCGTTGCAGGTTGATCCCGTTCTAGTAGATCGCATCCTCACATTAAATTGGGAGAGCCCCGAGTGTAAGTTGATGCTCTGGAACCCGTTGTCACAATAAATACCTTACCGTTCTTCATAGGCGAGAGAAAACTGTTAGAGGAGACGGAAGAAAAATTAGTGACGCGACTTGGAATTACCTATGGAGTTCTGAGAAGGCAAGGCTTTTCACAGGACAGAGTAGATGAATGCCTCAGGGCAATCCAGGGGGTAGATCTGGAGGAAGCATACGAATGGGTTCGTCCATCCTCTACCCCTCAAGCCATCGCTCACGTTAGGGCAGCTTTACATCTACTGCTCGGAAGATGAGCTTGAAGAGAAAGGTAAAATGATTGTTGTTAAGTTTACAGTTGTAGTTGTAGTTCTAAATCGCGTGTCAACAGTGGCTGAGGACCTTGACGACTCGAAAGTGCCTCGGAGAAAGCGTAAAGAGCTTCAGTCTCCGACACCAAGAAGCCCTTTGCCAGCATCTAACCCGTCACCACCTTCGGCAGCAGTGACAGCTGCATCAAAGCTTGATGCTAATGCTCCGGTGTTTGTGCCGGCGAGACAACGGCCAGCCTCAGATGTAGAATTGCTGAAATCTGGAGGTATTCTTCCCGCCGAATCGATGAGGTCTTCTCCATCAAGATCCAGTTCGCCTGATATAGATGACCTAGTCGCGGAGTACGTCCGTATAAAGATGCAGATCACAGATCTTACCGCCAGGGGCAAGCCACCGGCTCACCATGACCTTGTATTGGTCCAACATCTCCAAGACAAGCTCATGGTTTTGAAGTCGCACTACTTCTTTGACGAAAAAGATGCAGAAACGCAGTATCGGTCAGAACGTGCTAGGGTTGATACCCTTTTACTTCAGTCAAGATTACGAGGATCGAGTCCAAAGCTGTCAGCGACACAAGAGAAGAAAGTAGCAAAGCCACTCAGTGCTGGTCCACATGTTGAAAAACAAGACATACCTGCACCCTCTGACATCCCCGATATATTTGATCAACACGAGGAGGGTTTCGGTGGTATGCTTGAGATCTTGGATACCCTCCCTTCCGAAATTGCCGGAGAGGGAGGGACCACAATTCGCATACGGGACATGGTCTTACCCAAGCACTGGTCCAGTAAAACACCGAAGACACTTCTAGCCGAGTTTGTCTTCAAGGTTGACCGGTACGCCGCAGTCACTTATAGTGTCATTTCTGGGTCAAGTCGTGCGAAACGCGCATGTGTTATGGTCAACTGGGAGGGAAAAAAGACGGATGAGTGGGGCATGTGTGATGTTGCTTGTCACACTGAAATCCAGGCAGAGTATTATGTCGCAACACTTGCTTTACACGCTCTTACGTTCCCTGCCACTGATGGCTTTGCGGTCGGGTCTTCCGGTGCTTTAGCCAACCATACGTCGTTCCGGTTACTACCGCCTGTCTTCAGGGATTTATGGGACGAACTTGAGACAGACAGAAATTTACGGGAAGATCTGATCAATCGTCAAGTTTGGGCGAATATGAGAAACATTGTTGAAAAAAAGATTGATGCTCGTCCAATGGTAACGTTCCTCATTGGAATACCTGTTTTTCGGACTGAGCTTTGCTTTCTAGCTTATGGAGAAGAACACGAGGGCTACCACAGAGGCCAAAGACCCCATACCAGTTCGGAATCTGCCTCGCAATGACATCAGCTCTGATCATGTCATTGCGGACTTCAGAGCGCGACAAATGCGACCTGCGTATCAAGAAATGCTTGTAAGTGACTCCAGAAATGAATGTTTGGTCTACATTTCTAAGCTCTCTTTCGTAGCATCATCGCAATCAGCTTCCTATTGCAAAGTATAAGAGTGAAATCCTATCCATTCTTGACCGTTCGCAGATCCTCGTGCTCAGTGGCGAGACTGGCTGGTGAAGTGGCATTACTTCTTGAAAGGCACATCTTACTTATTCTCTGATTTTACAGTGGCAAATCCACACAAGTTCCTGCGTTCATTTTAGAGGATCAGCTGGCTCGTGGCCTCCCTTGCAAGATATACTGTACAGAACCGCGTCGAATATCAGCTGTATCTCTCGCTCAACGAGTTTCTCGTGAGCTAGGCGACTCTGCTGGTGCCGTTGGAACTTTAAGCTCGCTTGTCGGCTATTCAATTCGATTGGAAAGCAATACTACGCGAAATACCCGCCTGGCGTTTGTTACGAATGGTATCGCTCTTCGTATGCTGGAGGGAGGCACAGGCCCCAATGGTCAAGGCACTGCATTTGACGAGATCACAGTGAGCAAAACGTAAATCAGGGTAAAGACGTAGCTAATACTATTTCTAGCACATCATCATTGACGAGGTTTGTGCAGCCATTTCCGAAGCCCGAGCTCCTTACATGTCCAATTATACAGGTCCATGAACGCAGCATTGAGTCAGACTTCCTTCTCATTGTTCTAAAATCTCTTCTCTCCCAGAGGTCGGATTTGAAGTAAGCACGCTCGCCTTAGCCTACGCAGCTCACTGACCAAGCGCATCGCAGGATCATTCTCATGTCGGCCACAGTAGACGCGGACAAACTGTCCAATTATTTCAATGAATGCCCCACATTACATGTCCCAGGTCGAACCTTTCCTGTGGATGTTCGCTTCTTAGAGGATGCTATAGAGTACGCAGATTGGTCCATCCAGGAGAATTCGCCTTATGCGATTAATCGTGAGCCAACTTTTAAACTATCCTTGCAATACGCCCACTTACTCGAATAATCTATCAGTACATGATAAAACGCACAAGAACAAGAACAGGTTTGAATGGGACGAAGACACTGTTTACGGCAATGATGACGAAGAGACGCTAGTCGATGGCGGACATCAGATCTCAAGCCAGCCTATGAGACTGGAGAAGCGTTACTCCTATCAAACGATTAACACCGTCAATCTTCTTGATGAGCGCGCGATTCCTTACGAGTTGATTCTTCGTCTACTAGAACGCCTCTGCTTTGAGGACAAAGAGAGCCATCATTTTTCAGCGGCTGTTCTGATTTTTATGCCTGGTTTAGGGGAAATTCGGCGCATGAATGATCTTCTTACTGAACATCACACATTTGGGGATGAAAACAGCTTCAGATTATATCCGTTGCATTCTACACTTTCGAGCGAAAATCAGAGCGCAGTGTTTGACATCCCTCCTCAGGGAGTTCGCAAAATCGTTATAGGTTCTTATTTGCATCTGCTCCTCGAAGCCAAGCATCATTCTCATTACTCCTTCGCAGCGACCAACATCGCCGAGACAGGTATCACTATTCCTGACATTACCTGTGTCATAGACACCGGCAAACATCGCGAGATGAGGTCACTACTACCCCTCTCTCTTGAAGTCAACAATCACTGACTACCTTTAGGTTTGACGAAAAGCGACAGCTCAGTCGTTTGGTCGAAACTTTCGTTGCCAAAAGTAATGCTGCTCAGCGTAGAGGTCGTGCAGGACGGGTGCAGAATGGACTGTGTTTCCACTTGTTCACCAAGATTCGTCATGACACGTTGGTAAGACTTGGGCATTCCTGAGCTGTCTCTTTTACTGAAACCACGTGCTCAGTTGGCAGAACATCCTTTGCCAGAGATGATGCGGCTTAGCTTATCAGACCTTTCCCTACGCATTAAAATCATGAAGGTGAAAATTGGCACCTCCATCGAGGATGTATTGTCCCGCGCATTGGATCCTCCTACGCCGGTGAATGTGCAAAGAGCTATCTCAGCACTAGTCGAGGTCCGTCGATGCCAGAACTCCTGTGTTTACCTTTCTCATCTATCGCTTAGGTCCGCGCTCTTACACCGTCAGAGGACATCACTCCGATGGGTAGGCTTCTGAGCATGTTGCCTACAGACGTGCATCTAGGGAAATTCTTGCTCACCGCGGTATTATTCCGATGTCTGGACCCTGCGCTAACAATCGCTGCTGCTTTGAGTTCCAAGTCCCCGTTCATAGTACCAATGGGTATGGAGCAAGAGGCGGACCGTGCTAAGAGTTCGTTCCGCGTTGGTTAGTTATGCACTACATTAAAAGACAACGAACTTACCTCCACTTCTTTAGATAATTCAGACTTCTTGACGATCCACAATGCATTTTCGAGTTGGCGTAGAGCATCCGAGAATCCCAGTTTCGTGCGCAAGTTCTGTCGGGTTAATTTCCTTAGCCACCAGAATCTTCAACAGATCGAGGAATTACGTCAACAATTCCTAGGGTATGATGGTTTTGATACGTGATTGCTGTTTGGCTAAGAAATCTGTTGCAGCTTCTTAGTCGACTCTTCGTTTATCACTGTTGATAGGAATTTCGTTCGAGAACTCAGCCGGTATGTCATAGTGCGTCTAACGCCTCCCCATTACCGATGTTTTCATCCAGTGCGCGTTTCGGTCGCAACCGCACGCGCTTCGTGAGCGTACCGCTGCCTCTAGATAGCAATGGATCTAATATTGCTCTCATCAACTCGGCTCTCACTGCGGGACTTTATCCCAAAGTGCTGGCGATCGACTCTTCCTCTGGACAAATGCGCACTATATCGAATAACCAATCTGCTGCTTTTCACCCTACTTCTGTTAACTTTGGCAGGAAGCCCGCTGACTTTGGTGTCAACCATCTCGTCTACTTTACACTTATGTAACAGTCCATTATGATGACGGCGACAAGTACTGAAGAGGTTTGCAGGCACTCGAAGAAGATGTATGCTTGGGAGACTGGACCCATCGACGATCTCGCTCTCGTACTCCTTTGTGGGGAGAGTGAATTCAAGGTCAGTACAACGCCCCGAGTGAATACAAGACGTTGACATCATAGCATTATACCCAGATCCAAGCTAACATGTTGTCCATTGATCGGAAAATCAGATATCAGCTCACCCCCAAGGCCAATGTTGCGCTCAAGATTCTTCGCCAACACCTAACCACGATTCTTGCACTGCAACTTCGTGGCAGACCATTAACGGAGTCTCATGTATTATGGTATGATCTTGCCACTGCGGCTTTGGGGAAAATCAAACTGGAAACTGGAGATGACAGTGCGAAGCTGATGATTAAACTGCCATGATGTAGCCAATTGGCCTCTGATCTAGACCTAAATAATATGATGTATCGTCAAGACCTATGCACTTGCACTTATCCTCACTCATGCACATGAGGCTAAAATCGATAACGAGACGTGACAACAATGTGAGATGTCCATAATACATAGTTGACAACAAATATGTGAAGTGGTGGGATTACTCTTCATCATCATCCTCGCCATCACGGCTGCATCTTCTGTGAGATATAATACTCTGAGAAGTGGAAATCACTTACGCGATGTTGTAGAAACGCAACTCGTACGTATCCTTGGATGACGCGACCACCCGGATCCAGTCGCGCAGGGTGTTTTTCTTCAAGAATTTCTTTGTCAAATACTTGAGGTAGCGTTTTGAGAAAGGGACATTGGAGGTAACAGTGATTTTGGTGTTGCCTGCCAAAATAATTGAGAATATAACAGATTGGTGTTGACAAAGCATATTACCATCCCGAACGATTTTGACATTTTCACCGAGCTGACCAGACTTGCCCTCGACCTTTACACGATCGTGCAAGAACTTTTCGAAGTCAGCGCCATCGAAGACGCCGTCCGTTGCTGGGCGAGAGTAGTCGATCACGAATTTGTGCTTGACAGCAGGGGCTTTTCCACCAGCGGCTTTGGGCTAACAAAAGAACAGAACAAGCGGAAGTCCGCAGGACATGAGCCTACTGAGAAGGTAACTCAGCAAAGCGGTGCCGGGACTGACCATCTTGAAAACGAGGGATGCAAGCTTGAAGTCTTGAGGTTCGTTTCTGCAACCGTGACCAAGAAAATTAGGTTTGCTGTATATATGTAACTGTACAGTTCCAAACCACGTTCCTGGAAAATGCCGATACTTTAGGTTTTGGAAATATCTTCTCACATGACATTTCTGAACGAAGAAATTAGTCGATACTTACCGGTCCTAGATCACTACTGGCAAAACTTTTGAGGGATGACTACAACACTCACTCGCGAACAAGTCGCCTCTGCTCAACTGCAGGGTGACTTTGCTATAAAATCTGAGAGTTCACAGCCCAAACTCGATACATCAGAATGGCCCCTCCTGCTCAAAAATTATGACAAGTTACTCGTTCGCTCCAGTCATTTTACACCTATACCGTCTGGAAGCAGTCCATTGAAACGAGATCTCGTCTCGTACATCAAGTGAGTATCCCACATACATTTTGCACCCAATACTGAGATTTTTGAAGGTCAGGTGTGATCAATCTTGATAAACCTTCTAATCCTTCATCGCATGAAGTCGTGGCCTGGTTGAGGCGCATTCTACGCGTTGAGAAAACTGGACATAGCGGCACGCTTGACCCTAAGGTCACAGGGTGCTTGATTGTCTGCATTGACCGCGCTACGCGATTGGTCAAGTCCCAGCAAGGCGCAGGTTAGTACACATCGATGCTCAGCTAAAACACTCTTTATCAAAGCTGTTTAGGCAAGGAATATGTATGTGTGCTGCGCTTGCACTCAAGTTTACCGGATCCCACTGCCCTCCCTCGGGCATTACAGACACTCAGTGGTGCGCTCTTCCAGAGGCCACCACTGATCTCTGCTGTGAAGCGACAGTTGCGTATTCGAACGATATACGAGTCGAAGTTGTTGGAATTTGACGAAAAGCGTAATCTTGCCGTATTTTGGGTGTCGTGTGAGGCTGGTACATATATCCGAACACTTTGTGTCCACCTTGGTCTTTTGCTGGGCGTGGGTGGACACATGCAAGAGCTTAGGAGGGTGAGGAGTGGTGCGATGTCGGAAAACGATGACATTGTGACCATGCATGACGTTCTGGATGCTCAATGGATGTATGATAACACACGCGATGGTAAGTTCCTGCACGCGTTATCAGGGAATATTCTAATATCATTTGCAGAATCATACTTGCGCCGCGTTATCCGACCTCTGGAGAGCTTGCTCGTGGGATATAAGCGGATTGTTGTGAAAGACAGCGCGGTCAATGCAGTCTGCTACGGCGCGAAGCTCATGATCCCTGGGCTCTTGCGCTATGAAGCTGACATTGCAGTTAACGAGGAAGTGGTATTGATGACGACAAAAGGTCTGTTAAATTTAGTCTCATATTCAGGGATCCCTCTAATATCCTCGGTCAGGCGAAGCTATAGCTCTTGCCATTGCACAAATGTCGACGGTTGAGCTTGCCACTTGTGATCATGGAGTTGTTGCAAAAGTGAAGCGATGTATCATGGAGCGTGACACCTACCCTCGCCGTTGGGGTCTTGGACCCATGGCTCTTCAGAAAAAGAAAATGGTCAAGGAAGGGAAGCTGGGCAAGTATGGTGAGAAGACTGAAGCAACGCCTGCGGAATGGAGCAAGGACTACGTGGACTATAATCGAGAGGTATGCGAGATTCTTTTGAGACGGCGGCTCAAGGGTCCTAATCATTTATTTCTTAAGCAATCCGGTCCTTCCACAATTACCTCTGCGCCTGCCCAACAAGTGGAAGTGGTCGCAGAGCCTGTTGCTGAGGCTGTTTCCCCAAAGAAAGAGGAGAAGGAGAAAAAACGGAAGCGGAAGTCAGAGGCGGCCGAATCTGTCGCTGATGTGTCGATGGTGGAAGCACCTGCAGCGGAGGATGATCTTGATAAAGCAGAGCGGAAGAAGCGAAAGAAAGAAAAGAAGGACAAGAAGGATAAGAAGGAAGAAGGTGCGGAAGAGGATGATGAGGCTCGACGGGAGAGGAAACGGCTCAAAAAAGAGAAAAAAGCTAGGGAGTCGATGGCAGCTGCAGACGAGTAGTTCTTTGGATGAGATCTGTGCTTTCATATGTTATTTCTTGTATTCTCTGGTCGCTCGACATGGCCTGTCACTCACATCGCTGAGCTTGGCAGGTATAAGTTCAAGATGAAACAGCAAATGAAGTAAGGAGCTCACTGGGCCACTTGCAATACTTGATAGTTTCGCCAGCGTCGTGTTGTGTTCGGCATGCTCGCCAGGTACCAGTGGTATAAGTAACTTACAACTTGTTCAGTAAGAACATCGGGCGCTTCAGCGCTGCCAGGTGCCGGTGATCTGTGAACCGACTGACAAGTCTACTCTGACGCCAGAAATAAACTGCGGCAACCGGTGATCGAACCTAAAACTTCAAGTACTCTTACCCACTCCTAGTAGTATTGGTAGATCTTGCGTCTAGCATATATGCTCTACTAGTAATTGAGTGGCTTCCCGTAGGCAAGGATATAAATCATATAATATATAATTTCACGCGGGTCACCGTTTCAAGTGTCTGCCTCCCAATAAACTTTAAATCTGTAAGGGGTACTTTGCCTTTTCAGGACCACTGACACCAACGATATCCGCTGACATAACTTTACCGTTCTGCGCAGGTCAACGTTCAACGTTCGATACTACCGCCTCTACACTTCACGAATCCCTGGTATATTTTGCATGCTTACCTTGTTTATATACGCACTGGTTTAGATGCTGTGGTGAGCCGAATTTCCGAGCCTGACACTAGCGCTCGCCGCTAAGGGAAAGAAACAACCGGTGTCCCTCAAGAAATTTTCACTAGCGCTCGTGCCTCCTTATTTGAAATATCAACGTACGACATACAACTGGCGTCCAATGCAAAATTCCCCTCATGAAAATTTCACCAGCGGTGAGCGCTCGTGCCTTCCTTATTTTGCAACATTAACGTACGACGGACAACTGGCGTCCAATGCGAAAGTTCCCTCGGATGATTCTCATTCTCCAACCCTACCTTCTGTGTTTGTAGGACAGCAACCATGTCAGAGCCCTCACCTAGGTGGTGAATGTTATCAAAGCCCGTGGTCATAATGAAGGCTCGTTCTGGCTTGCAAATGAAGCTTACCACGGGGTGCTCGCCTGTGGATTTGGAAGGAGCTGCGCGCGGCAAAGGTATTGTCATTGTGTTTGACGTCTGTCGTTGCGTTCTTCAAGTTGTCGAGTCAGTTCGGTTCCCACCAGTACAGCAGCTGCTGCAGCTGTTGCCACAATGAGTGCAGATTCTTTACCGTTGATTACTTCTCATTTACAACGCTTGATACTGATATAAGATATCGTCCACAAATACTCCATCGTTCGTATAGAATTGGTTTTTCAAAGTCCGGCGTATGAGAGTTTACCTACTACGGGAAGTCACTAGTCAGCTATATTATGTACAATCACTTGTGGGAAGACGAACAACGTTGTCGACGCTGCCGCTGGTCCCGGTCATCAATGGTGCGAGAGGCGCGCCGCCAAGGCAACTAGCAATAGGATAAAAGATTGGAAAGATGGACAAATGGCAACAGTCGCAATTGGAATATTCGGAAGGAATTGTTCGTGGAATATATAACCTGAGACAGTCTACTAGTGCCAGTGGCGCAGGGGTTGTACAGCCCTTGATGCAGTCCTTGATGCAGATCAATGGTGCACCGGTTGAGAGTTGAAAGCATAGTAAGCACGGCTACTATCCAGGATGCGTCGACACGTTTGCTGACACCTGTACTAACTTTAGTCTATTCACGAGGGTCCAGGGCCCAAGGAACATAGCACCTGTTAAATTGCGAATGCTGCAAATTCTCGTTTGCACTGGGCACAGGTCACGACAAAGCCCACTGCCAAGGATGCGACATCATGATCGTATCGAATGATCTCCAGTTTCTGACAGGCCACAGCTACCTCCACTTTCATGCCACACTTCAATCAAAAAAGGACTTCACCAGTTGGAATCAGGCGCTTTGTAGGTTCTCGGCACATGGGACTCCAGTTCAAGGTGCATGTGATATAGATGCCCCAACGAGTGATTTAAACTACTTGTCCGTCCTGTATGTTCAGGTAGTTCGAACAGAGCAACTACAGAGCAGCTTGCGATGAAGTCGACAGTCATGGGCCTCGTTTTCTCGATCCTGTGATAACTGGGGATACCTTGCCCGCAGGGCTGTGGATCTGTGCTTCCGTAAACGCGATGAGATGCGACAGAGTCAAAATGTTGCCTTGAAGCTTTTGATGGCTTTTCTGCAAATAAATCCCCAAAAAGCGTCTGCAAGGCTATGTCTTGATGGCGCCTGTAATTAGCAGCCGTGCGGTGATTGATATGCTACCTGCTATTGCCGATACGCGGGCTATTTCAGCTTTTCCCGACTGGCGGGTGTTGAAGAGATAGATACACTGCCCGTTACCAGCACTGTTTCTGTGCCTCCCAGGCCATCATTCCTCTTCACACCGCAGATGTGACTACATACATAAAGTTGGTGTTTTGTTTCATAAGAATCCTGAACCACATCTTAAAGCGACGATTTTTCTGTCTAGGCGACTTTCACCAAAGTTCTGACACCCTAGTAGATCTGGATTTTCATCATAATGGTCGCAGCACCAGCACCCAAAGTGAAGGTGGTGAAGTCTCTTCCTCGATTTGACGTCGGTGAGTGGCGGGTCGTCGTCTTGTAGATACCTTATGCTAAATCAGCTTTCGAGGTCCCGACTACGAGATTTTGCATTGTCTGGGTGAAGGAGCATATGGAACAGTGGTAGCTGCATCACATAAACCCACTGGCAGACAGGTAGCCATCAAAAAGATCCTGCCTTTTGACCACACACTGTTCTGCCTTCGAACATTGCGAGAGCTGAAGCTCCTGAAATTTTTTTCGGAGACCTGTGTCAACGAGAATGTTCGTCAGTTTTTTGCTCGTCGATCAGGGATATGTCATAGAGTGATCATTATAGATCATCTCGATATTAGATATAACGAGGCCACCATCACTCGAAGAATTCAAGGAAGTGTACTGTGAGTTTATTCAATTCATTTACCTCAGTCGCGCTGAATCCCAGAAAGTCATTCAGGAATTCATGCAGACCGACCTTCACCGTGTCATACGGACGCAACAGCTTACCGACGATCATTGCCAGGTAAAATTTCGGCAACTTATCCGAAATCCGATGTGATCTGATTATTGCTGTCCAGTACTTTACTTACCAGATTCTTCGTGGCCTCAAATCTATACATAGTGCTGATATTGTCCACCGAGATCTAAAACCGGCCAACCTGTTGCTCAACGCTAATTGCGACCTCAAAGTTTGCGACTTTGGCCTGGCGAGGAGTGTCAAAGCAACTACCCCGGGCGCCAAAGAGACTGGGTTGATGACTGAGTATGTAGCAACGCGATGGTACCGTGCACCAGAGATTATGCTTTCTTTCAAGATGTACACGAAGGTCAGTCTCCCGCGATTTCCTGATGGTCGTGTCACTTATCGCACGCGGTTGTGAAGGCTATTGATTTGTGGGCGGTTGGATGCATTCTTGCTGAAATGCTGACGGGTAAACCTCTGTTTCCCGGGCGCGACTACTCCCATCAGCTGAATCTCATCCTGGATATAATTGGTATGTCCTTTCGTGATTTTGAAGCATATAACATTATGGACGTTTGTACCAAGGCACGCCAACCTTGGATGAGTTCTACTCGATTACTTCAAGGAGATCGAGGGACTATATCGAGCTCTTCCAATCCGCAAAGGAAGGAAGTTTCAATCACTTTTCCCGAAAGCAACGCCTGAAGCCATAGATTTCCTACAGAGGACTTTGGTATGCCGACTTCTTCCTTTGAAATTATTGGACGATGATATACCTCTTTTTAGACTTTCGATCCCAAAAAGCGCTTGACGGTTGATGAAGCTCTCAACCACCCGTATCTTGCTGCATATGTCAGTTCCAATATATATATATTTTCCTCTATCACATCTAACTCATGCAAACAGCATGACCCAGAGGACGAACCAGTTGTAGCATCCCTTGATCCAGACTACTTCGACTTTGACCGTGAGTTTCTTTCAAATCTCTCCGATGTGCTCACTCAGTTCCTGTCCTTAGAATTCAAAGACGACCTCACCAAAGCAGACCTGAAAGGTACGTGATTCACTCATCCCAATAGCCGGTGTCTTCAACTGTCTGTAGAACTCCTATACGACGAAATCATGTCCTTCATCCCGGCGCTTTAAATTATGATATTCATCATTCGACTCCTAGTAACTGTACAGGTCCCCGCCACATATTATTACCCTGGACTCAGCATCACGTCGTGGGATTCATCACGCTGGTTTATATTTACCGTCGCACTGGTTTCGACATTATCACTATATACTTGTAGTCTCATTTGCACGATAGTGGATAGTAGAGCAAATTAACAATATAGGAAGATGCAAGAATACATTGGATCTACTGACACAGCAAGTGTGTACGAATGATAATCAGGTATATTAGGATGAAAGGTAGATAGTCGAAACCGACAGTAAAAGCAGAATAAAAGTCCAACGAAACAATCAGCGCCTACCTCCAGCCCAAAAGCCAGTCGCTACACCCTCAACACCGAAATCACCAAATCGAGTATCCCCTTCTAACTCAGTCCCGTACATGGTACGGCGTGCGGGAGGTACTGGAGTGCCCTCTTCCGTCGCCGCCGTGCGCAGTACAGTCAGTCCCAAGCCCGAAGCCACCTCATTGCTCGACGGCTGTCTCTGCATACCACCGGCCCACATCGAGGAATTGAGACTACTTTCCTGTCCGCCTGTGGGTCCGCCTGGCCCGCCCCTACCGATCGTTCCAGAGCTACCACGACGATGTCCGAAAATCCCGAGGTGCTCCGACTGACGACTGCGTGGTCGATCCACGTTATTTGCTGGCGATGGGGATGTGGGGGGTTCTGGATGTGGGAAGGTTCCCATTGCAGTGGGGAAAGTGAAACGAGCTGGAGTTGATGTAGGCAGACAACCAAAACGAAAGGCATCTAGAGGCGCTCCCACGGTGGTGGACACGCTCATCGATGGAGGTGAAGGTGGTGTGAAGAAATCAAGAAGGCTGTCTGTGGGCGGAGGCATCTCTACGTAATCAGGATCGCCAAATATAGGGAAACTAGGTCTTGCGGAGGGTTGTGAGAGGCCAGGATTGGTGTCTTGACTACCCTGTGCGCCTGATGACGGACCTGAACAGTCATCCGCGTCCTCCGTAATGGCAGTGGAACTTAATTTAGCACGCTTCTGAGCGGGCCGAGCAATTCTCTTCGCAATCTCAATTTCAGAAAGTTCTTCCTCTTGTCCGAGCTCAAAAAACGTAGTAGTGGTACTGGCAGTAGAATCTCGAAGGCGCTTCCCAAGAGTGGTACGAAAGCCAGGAAGAAGCGACACTCCCTGATTCGGGTTGACTGTCTCTCGCTCTTGATGACTGAGTAAGCCATTGGGATTCGGAGAATCGCTAGAAGTTGCTGAGGACTCTGGCAGAGCATCGCTAAAATCCCATGAGTCGAAGCAACATGACAAACGACAAAAAATCTCACCCAAGAGGATCGACTGGACTGCGTACACGTTTAGGGGTTGACGGAGGATTTGGTATTCGGTGGGGAGTTTCTTTGGGTCTCTGAACTTCACCAGCACAATGTCCAGGTGCTTGTGCACGTAGCCCCTCAATCTCCGCCGCGAGGCCTAAAATTCGTGTTTCGAATGTCTCGATAATGCCTGAGACTTTGTCTCTCAACTCAGACAACTGAGCTTTCTGATCATCCAGTTCCTTTTGTACTGGAGCAAGCTGTAATGGACTCGAGTAAGATAAATATCGGACTACATATATTGAACTCACAGCGGCAGCCACTGCATTCTCGACTATTTGTGAGTACGAAGGCTCTGTTGTGCTTGCGGTATGCGGTTGTGGCGGTGTGGAGTGTGGCTTGGGCACTAGCAAAGAATCGCTCGATTCTGCTTGTTCTGATGCTATGTGAGAGTGAGCGACTCGACAACTTGAATTCGTTTATCTAATGGACTGACATGTTAAAGCGGGGATTGGCTCTGGCTCTGCAAATGTTGAGACCACTGCGGGATGTATCGATAAAGATCAATGCCCACCTTCAGCGATAGGGTCTTCTGATGGCTTGACATTTTTCATGCTTTTCGCCTTCTTGCTCCCTCGCGAGACACTTACAGATTTAGTCACAGCACGAGCGCCACTACCTCCGGCAATGATTGGTCGACCGACACCAAGACGATATTGGGTATCTTTGGCTTTGCGGGTTCTCGGGGTGGGATCAACAGGGGCCGACGGAGGTTTATGTTCTTTCGGCTGCTGTTCCACTTCTATTTCTCCGATAGCTTCTTCTCCCTCTTCGTCGGTATCATGGATGATTACAGATCCATTAGAGCGCCCGCGAGGTCTATCACCGGGTTGACTTATTATTCTGACAGATGTAGATCGCTGAGGCGGCTGTGGAAGGATCCTTCGGGAAGGTTGGGGTCTATGTTTGTGATTAATTGCTGGATCGGTGTTAATATCAGGGCTGGCTCACTGGGACGCATCAAGCAAAAGCTCTATCAAAGCTTCTGTCTTGAGGTTCGCCTTTACACCATATTCCTAGTGAAGAGATTTAGTAAGAGGTATAGCATGAGTGATTTATCTGACTTTGCATAACTTCTGAATATCGACTCGTTTCATCACCTGCAGGACCTCACGGCCTGGCACTGAGATCATTGAGAGATGGCGTTGAGATAGAGGAAAGTGAAAAGATGGAACAAGTTGCTGCTTGTGGTTGCTGGCGCGCGCGTGGTTTAAGTATGGAAACTGCACAATAACGGATGCCAGGTCCACAACGCGAGCCCAACCACAGTCACGTGATATTCTCATAATCAGATTCAACGTTAATCACTCCATTGGATTGGACCTCGACTTCGTGATCCCTTATAGAACTTGAATGTTTTTCTTCTTTCTCTGGTCTGCCAACACGATGCCAACATTAACTTCCACGAGGCACACATCACATTACTCGACTAGGTCACTTCCAATCTCGTTCGCGGACAGCCGGCCCGGCATCGACCCATGCTTTTAAATATCGTCATGCTCTAAGCTAATTTGGGGTTACGGTTTCTCCGCATTTCCATCGACCGTGATGCAGACGTTCACTCTTGAACAAGTCGCCCAGCATACCACCACCGGGTGTGTTTCATATCACGTTTCATAAGTAACAATCATAATCATTCTCATATTTTCAGCTCCTGCTGGGTCCTCATCCAAAACAAAGTTTATGATGTGACCGACTTCCTCTTCGTGAGTTTCGTGAGTTTGTTGTGCGTGCGTTAAACTAACATGCACCAGGATCACCCCGGAGGGCCGAATGTCATCCTCAAATATGGAGGAAAGGATGCTACTGCTGCATACATACCTATCCATCCATCGGACGCTTTGGACAAAAACCTTGCTCCGGAAAGGCATCTTGGTACTTTAGACGACGAGTCAATAAATCGACTAAAGGAATCAGAGAATAACAAGGTTCAAACCAAAGATGAGTTGCGCGTTGAAGAAGCGCTCAAGAACAAACCACCGCTTCAGAGAATAGTCAATGTCGAGGATATGGAAGTAAGGTACTCAGGTATACTACCCTACCGCACTCTCATCACTGTAATCTGCAGGAGGTTGCGAAGAAAATCCTGTCATACAGGGCCATGGCTTACTATTCTTCAGCTGGGGACGACTCTATCAGTAAGCATGTGCTTTTATCTAGCTGAATTGCATTTTCAAGGTCATCAACCATACAGCGCACGTGGAGAATGGTCGCGCCTTCGGTCGCTTCTTTTTTCACCCTCGGGTTATGAAACCTGTGTCCCAATGTGACACCTCGACGACTATACTCGGTTTTAAGAGTACGATACCCGTGTACATCAGCGGTGCAGCGCTAGCCCGACTGGGCCACCCATTAGGCGAGGCCAATTTTACACGCGGTGCCTATAAGACCGGTATTATACAAATGGTGTCCACCAACTCTTCTCTCTCTTACGCAGAGATATCCGCTGCACGTGTTTCCCCAGATCAGCCTCTCTTCTTCCAATTATATAAACACGTTAGCGATGCCACTGCCGAGAAACGCGTAAGAGATATTGAAGGATTAGGCTACAAGGCAATTTTCTTGACAGTCGATGCCCTGGTTCCTGGTAACCGCGAGTTGGACATCAGAGTACCACATTATCTCGAGGACTTGGAGAACCAAGGTCTCCCCACTCAGAGAAAGCCGGATGAGGACGAAGGCGAGACTGACCGACTTGGTACCGCTGGCGGACTTGTCATAAAGAACGATGCTGACATGACATGGGAAAAGGTGAGTTGTAGTTCAGCTCACGAGACGCCATGGACAACTTCCTCTGCAGACAATACCATGGATACGGAGCATTACGAAATTACCCATCGTCATTAAAGGTTTGTGCATTCACACCCTCGTTTATCGCTGTATCTCATTCCTGTTTCAGGTATTCAGTGTGTTCAGGTTGGTGGATATGACTCCTCGTATAAAGACCCCAGATGGTGACAGAAGCTACCAGGATGCCGTTCTGGCCTGTGAAGCTGGTTGTGAAGGTATTGTGCTATCGAATCACGGAGGTATGCCGCGTCTGATCATTTCTTGGAATCACTGAAGTTGACGCTATAAACAAGGTCGTCAATTGGAGTACTCTCTACCACCAATTGAGTTGTTGTACAGAATACGACAACAGCGCCCTGACGTATTTGAGAAGACTGAAGGCTGGTTGCCGATCATGATCGATATGTCACTTGAACTAATACACATCTTTGATAGTGTACATTGACGGAGGAATCCGCCGTGGAACCGATGTCGTTAAAGCACTATGTTTGGGTGCCAGAGCTGTCGGACTGGGACGCGCGTTCCTCTACGCCCAGAGTGTAAGTTGTTTCTATTCAATCGCATGTGAGTAATGTCTAACTAGCATACGTGAAGGCATACGGCGAGGCTGGTGTAGTTCACGTGGCGCGTATCCTTGAACGCGAAATCCGCTTTGGCATGCAGTCGCTCGGTGTCCGAAGCATCAGTGAACTCGTGCCGCAGATGGTGAGTACTAGTTGTACACTTGCTTACGTCTGTTGAATGACTTCCCTTGCAGGTTGAACGTGTTGACTGGCAGCCAGTCACCCGTGCGAAGCTGTAGATGATAGATGGTTGCAGTCCTGAGCTACAACATCAACATCTTGCTGTATCATATGCGCACGCCTATCGTGTACTTATACCTTGCATTTATATGAGATCACTGTCTTCTAGACATTCACCGATTGGACACAACATCGCTAAGTAATACTACCAACAAAAGCTGCTACTTCACAATTGGGGAGATGTTCTGAATTTGAATCATGCAAAGCCAGCGGATCAACACAGTTGTCCTGACTGTCTGGTCCCATGGCTGACAATATGAACTGGCTTACTTTGTTCAGACGCATAAAACGGTGATGCGCCTGCAACCGATGGCTCGGCTCCCCCGCTCACCTTAAGTTAGGTTTTCAAATTGTGACCAAACAGGAAGGTGACTAGTCATGTGACCGCGACATCAATGTTCGACTTATGCCTCGTGCGCGTTTTCGGCTCTCTTTACACCAATACTATCTCTTACTGGCGTTTGTCGCGATCTTAAACATTACTGAAACACTCCTTGCAGGTCAACAGATAAAGAATGGGCTTCTGTCGGAGGTGCGGGAATATTGTCATAGGAGAACGGTGTAAATGTGGTGGCACAGCAGTTGGTTTGTCCCATTTTCTTGTACCAGTCAACTCATATCAAACGAGGTGTCAGCCCCCGTAGTACAATGGGCAACTTCCAAAGAGCCTGCTGCAGACAGATGGTCTCAGACTTACGTTTCTCGTGAGAGGTCTCCGATTCGACCTCCCAGCCGCGCACAACCATTCAACTCCGACTCTACCTTTCCGACCGCCAGCGAAAGTGTTATCCCAGATGCCTCGTCTTCACCCCTGGAACGTCTACCTCGAAAGTACTCAGCAATCGATATATCTTCTCCTTTCGGAAACCGCACCTCTGTACACATTGGATCAAGTACATCGCGGCCTGCCTCACCGCTGAAGCACTCAGTGTCGTTAAGCAACATCCATCACGAAGCCCCTCCATCACCAACAACTATCTCCGCTGCTGCAGGAGTCCTTCCTTCCCCATACACACCCGAACTTTCCAAAGCTTATGGGTCAGTCCTTCAGCCCAAAGAATCCCTTGCATCCTACTGCTGCGCTATCTGCTCCGCTGAATTCCCACCAGACGCGACCATATACCCAGACCCTTCTGCTCCCGCAATAGAAACAGACCGATTCCTGTGTCGACAATGCTTCGTCAAGCACGGTGGATCCAAAGGCGACTGCCCTTCGTGTGATCGTCCAGTGCTCATTGTGAAGAGCGAGGGTGGTTTCGTGGAAACGTCAGGCCGTGTTTGGCACAAAAGATGCTTTCGCTGTGACGGGTGTCACAAAAACATTGGCGATGCTCCTATGGTCGACCTACTAGGTCGACCATCCTGCGCAGACTGTTTCGAAAGTTGCTTGCAGAGGGACAATACGCCTTCCAAACCTCACCAATCTCCAGGAATAGAAAGAATAGAGCGAAGTCACGTAGGCCGCTTCCGCAGAGACTCGACAAGTTGGCAAGGAAGCCCTGCAATCGATGAACTAGAACAGCGACTTGGAATCATGAAGAGTAGAGAAGGTAGCCCTGTGATGGAAGAGCTCACGGCACGTTTAAATGCAGTGCTCAATCGCACACCTTCCAAAGATGCATCTCCGACACCAAGTGCCCTTGGTGCCTCAATGTCGCGTTATACCAATACAAATTATCGGGGAGAAAGTCCTATTCCTGGTCGTATTTCGGAGAGGAAGTTGCCCCAAACATTTTCTCCAATGGGGTCGCTCTCCTCTGCTTTCGACAGTGTCGACTCAAGCAACAGCTCTCCGCGAACTGATTTTTGGCAGACCAGAAGTCTCGACGCTGGTGAACGTAGGGCGATACCTAGCACAACCATTCGCGAACGGGTCGAGACTCCAGAGATGAATGGATCTAGTCCCTCGTCAGGGCGACCCTCTGCTGAAGCAATTGAAGAGATGAAGAGCCGATTTTTGCCACAATCACCTTCGTCACCTGGCTCACGCACAAATGCGAGCATCGCATGTTCCTCGTCTTCGCCTTCCTTCTACAATAATTCACCTGTAGGCAAACCCCTGGAGGGATCGCGAATCCCGCTCTCGAGACGGTCTCGCGGTTCTCCAGCACTTCGTAGTGTAGCAAGCACTTCAAGCTTGTCATCTCCGCGCCTTTCCTGGGCTCCGTCTACACCGGAATTGATGTCCGATATGTCAGACATTACGACAGAGGCTTCATCTCCATCTTCCCCCCTGCCCTTTAGTCCACCAGCGCGCCATGTCGGCATCTTCGGCAATGGTAATACGCTGTATTCGCCCGACAAACCCAGTGACTCTGTTGAGTCAGAACATGACACTCGAGAGGTTAATTCAACGACGACACCTAAACCAGCCGAACAGGCACTCAATCGACTTTCTATTTCCGCTACTATCCTAACACCTGATTCGCTGTGCGCGAAGTGTGGGGGGTCCCTTTCCACAAGCAGAACAGCAGGCCGGTTTGTCACCGTCCCTGACGCTAATACTACAGGGCCACCGAAGACATATCACCCCGAGTGTTTCAGATGCGTGATGTGCGATGGCCCCTTTAAGGTGTCTGGGATCGGCCAAGCAGTCTTTGCCAGAGGGGAAGGAGGGGCTTGTCATGTGGAAGTCAGTCTCATGCGTTCACTCATTTACTTGAACTATCGACTCACCAGTTGCAGTGCACCCCTCATGAGAAGGCTCGGGTCAGATCCACATCTGTTTCAGGTTCGATCACATCTGCATTCCCTTTGTTGCCCTCGCCACCCTCGCCGTCAGAATTACGTAGGGGCATCGAGCGGCCGACGGCATCGAGTGCCGCAAAGACCGTCACTCGAGCCTCAATGGCAGCCATTACCACTCCCTACTCATCATCTCGTCTGGAAAGATCAGCACCTAGGCCGTCTGCACCTGCAGTACCCACCACGCCCCCTCGTTTTGGCAGCTCGACGACATGCCCGGCATGTTCCAAATCCGTCTCTCCTATGGAGATGGGTGTAGTGCCTGGTCCTCAAGGTTCTAGATGGCATGGGTCCTGTCTTGTGTGTGGCGGTAAGGGAGCGAACAAAGGGCGACGTGACAAATCACAACCTGGTTGTGGCAAGAAGCTGGACTCTGCTGCGAAACGGGATATTGATGGAGGTGTTTGGTGTAGGGAATGCCTTGTAAGTCCACGCGATGTTCATCTTCAAATCTAATATATCATAACGTCATCGACAACCAGCTTCTGCTTCCCCTGGATCTGAGAAACCCTCAAGCAGACTCGCCCATCAAACCACTTGTGGTATCACTGACGGGTCGCAGCGTAGGCGGTGGCACTTCCACATCTAGAGCTGTTCAGCCTCAGTTCACAGGTACCACCATCGCCCGTCAGTTTACTGGGTTGCGTGGCGGTGACGCAGCGCTTGCGAGACAATTGACCGGTGGTGGCTTAAGTCCGACGAAACAGTTGGGCACTGCTACGCCTCGGCCCAGACCCAAGAGCGTAATTGGCATGAGAAGTGGAAAGAGCGTAGATGAGGGTCGGGGGATGTTCCTAGTTCGGCAAATGACCAATGGAGGAAATTCGTTTGGTGTATAAACTGTTTAGACTCTTCTGGACTCAAAGGACGATTATTGGAATCTATGACATGATATGTACTTTGATAACAATAGTACCGCGTGGCTCACATGAAATGAGAATGGATTACGGGCCCAGAGCGTGAAGTGTACGATCGATTATAAGAAATGAAGCTCGACCACGACCAAGTCATACTGATGTCTCCAGCAAGCCATGGGTCCCGATCAGGGCACTGCATCAGATACCAGCTGAGTTAGTACTATAGTTTATATTTACATATATACATATATACCAGAGAAGTCGAATGGTGCAGCAGGCTACTGTAACGTCAGAACCATTCTCAAGGACGTGATTAGTTGACGGTTACAATTAATCTTAAAATTTGCGAGAACCTCCGGGAAATGGTAACTCGGATCTCTGGGACTTGAGCTTGAAGGTCGAGCGGAGTATGAACTGTTATTTGTGAGACTGACGGCAGCTGACTAGCGCTGACTCAGACCTCGTCACATGCTTGATTCCGCCTTAGTGCTCAAGCGCTCATCCGACTCGACTGTGCTCCGTCGCGCCCTTCGCGAGTGCAGCAGTTAGCAATCAGTCGCCCGATCGACGCGAGCCATAGCTGTAACCATCGATGATAAGTAGAGAAGAACTCGTGAAAGGACGAGTCGTGGCGTACAGAAGGATGTATCATGATGTTGGCAGGAAAAAGATATGTACAGGTGTTGGGTGGGCGGCCAACATTCCAACGATGAGGGAAGGAACAGCTTCTCCATTCCACCAACCCAGGAATGATTAATGATTCCTCTGCACAGGTCACTTGTGACTGTGCATGATACCGGTGCCCAAACAAATGATGCATACTTGCAAATTTTGCAGATCAGTGAAGCACGGTACCATGTCTTGTTCTTGCTGATGGGTGTTGCTGATTTAAATGCCACTGCGCAGCCGGGTCGCATAACTGCACTAGTACTATGATGACTGGTTCTCTCGATCATTTTATGTCAGGGAGGTGATGTGGTGATAGATGATTATTAGGCAAAAGAACGTGATGCTGGGCACATGACACGATGTCTATGATGGAATACTCGTTCCTTTTCCGTTGCTACAAACGTTAGACCTTACTAAAGATCGGTGGAAGTTCCCGTCAGGACCCATGAGAACACCTATGGAACCCAGCGGACGGCGCCCTTGTCTGGACTCTGACCCAGGTCAGTGCCGTGTCTTGATTCTTTTAGCGATCTGTACTCAATTTTTGTTGTACCTTTAGCCCTGGTGAACCCTTTTCAGCTGGGTCATACACATCTGTTCCTCGGCGGACACTCTCGAGGTCCTCCATCCCTCCAAGTCGGTGCCCGTTCCTCGTAGTCTTCTTGTGGAACAACCTGGCAGCTTCCGCCAACCGAGGCAAACCAGCTGATACTAAGATGTGATGCCGGACTCAGATCCATAGGGATTCTTATGGGTCCTACCATACCTTTCAAATTTCAAAATTCGACTGGTGAGGCTCCGAAGCAAAATTTGGATATGCACGCATTACACCGTATGTGCTCCTCTTGTTTCCGATCGAAGTATTGTGTCATCAACATTGTCGTAAAACTAACTCAACTTCTAGGCTGAGAAGTGCATAACCCACCCTACTTACTGACTGACTGAGTATGGGAACTCAGATAAGCCAATGTGCTTACATCTATCGTCCCCTGTTACTTGTCTAAAAAATTTCGGTTCCCTGACGAGGTATGAGCAACCACCCTGAGGACCCCTGTGGAACCCAGTGCTTCAAGGCGCCAACTTCTGGGAACCGAGAATTTTTGAACGAGTGACAGGGTCAGGGAGAGATGTCGATATCTAGGGTAGTGGCTGCGGGCAAGCCCGAGAGTTATTTAAGGACGACAGTTTGTCCTTCTTATCTGTTTTCATATGCCCCTGCTAGATGCTGCTAGGTACCTTTATTTTCGTTGATGGTTGTCAGAAAACCTGACGGTAGACCATGCATGGTACCTAGAGTATCTTATTATGTAATGATAATTTTGTGTGACGGTTTAATATCGATCATAATTTCCCGATTAGCCTTTTGAAAGGTCACTGCATTTCGATCTTTGCGCGCCTTGTTACAGGTTACATGTTACACATGGCTGCGTTCCGAAATCTGTTAACCATACGTTCGTTGCTATTATCGTTGTCTCCCGTCGTCAAGCAAATGATTATTCTGCTCTAGGATCAGCGAGGCATCGGAGAGAAAAAAATAGAATGCGGCTTTATTATGCTTGTTTTTCGCTCCCCCCCTCGTGTCCTTAGAAGAGCTTCAGTGATCTTCCCAAGTAACGTTCCTTTTACTATTGGAGGCGCCATTTTGGATGCTTGATATCATCAGTCTTTGCTCAGCTTTGCTCGTACACTGCCAGCTGGTTTCCACACCAGCTCACTGCTTCATCTCTTTTTCTCGTCTAACTTCAGTCCTTCTACTAGTTCGCTGGGATCAACTGCGAAGAGGCTTGCCTCGACGCCATTTCATTCCTTTTGGGTCTTATCCGCTTCCATGTCCAGTGCGGTATTCGAGTTCTCGACATGCAGCTTGGGATATAGCTTCATCTCTTCTGCAGTGTCGAGCAACAATAACTGTGATGTGAGTCCAATGACCCATAGGTCATTCGCCAAGCTGATGAGGGCTTCAAGGTTGAATTCATATTATCTGACATACCCTTCATCTCAGTCGGAATGTTAGCTTGTGGAGCATCTGCATTATTTTTCGTCATCAGACCTTTCACGCTGTGAGTAGCAGCGGTATTTTCCTGACCGTCAAGAACTGACGCTTAATTCAGCGCTGTTGTTTCTCTTTATTTTTCAGTGTTGCTGTCTTTCGCAGCTGTTGTCATAGACCTGACTCGAATCCTCATTTATGCCTTGACTCAGGTCACTGTACAGCCATTAATCATAGCAAGGGAGGTTTTACTTGCCCTATCCCTCGGCCTACGTTTTCTGTGCTACTGGCTGTATGTCTCTGAGCCCCCTATCGGAGACCCCCGACCCCCTGCATGTCAGGATCGATGGAACAACTTTCTCACACTCGGCTCTCAGCACAACATCCACAGTGGTAGCTGGTCTCGGTGGGGTGTTTCGGGATTATATGCAAAGGTTGCTTTGTTGGCCACTATCCCTGCTATCACTGCTTTGCAAATCATTTGGCGCTTAATTCAACGATACCATGTTTATGGCGCGGTATATGCAGTAAATGTTACACTGGAGATCGTGGTCTCCTTGTTGCTTCTTATCAAGCTGCTAGTTAACACCATTTCAACCTCGTCGATTACCCGATCGCACACTTTCGGGGAATATGTGTTTCCCATTTTAGCGCTAATGTTTAATATTGGCATTTCCGTCGGGAACCTGATTCTCTGTAGGTTGAATGCTCATGCATGCGTTGCTTTACTGATTTCTTTTGTCAGTCGCATTCACAGAGTCAATACTCGGCCGACTTCTTCAAGCAGGAGAGCTCTACATCTTGATCGTCTTTATGATGATTCTCCAATTTTTCCATCACAAAAAGACCCCAGCTATTTCCAAGACCAGGGATTTGGCACTATTGAAAGTCGAATTGCCACACCGGGCTCGTGAATCAACATTCAGGCTATCCCCACCAGTGGTATCTACACCCAGAGTAATAACGCGTTCCAGTTCCGGAAATCAGAGCAGAAGTATAAACGCTGATGTCACCCGTCATTCTGTGCTTACTACCGTCCGTGCCCCATGGGTTCCTTGGAGGATGTCCCATGGCCAGTCGGACCAAGATGAGGAGAAAGCAAAGCTATGGGACCAGAGCGAAGCTGGGAAGGGGGCCCCCGATCTGCCTGCTGTGGGTCAAGGCAGTGCCGGAAATCAGAGTATGACTTCCGCCGCCCCTGTTACGGACAGGGTATCCACAGAATGGAGAGACATTGTAAATGATTCTGTTTCCAACTTCTCAAGATTATCCTTACTCGATGCCCAGTTTGCAAGCGCCGGATCTAGGAACAGCTCAATCAGCAGTGGTCAAATTTGGCATGCAGTTCGTGCAGACATACCCACCCGCCCTCATCCTCTGAAGCTGCGAACCGTGTCTCTTGCTGTTCCAACGACTGCAACATCCTCCGATGAAAATGGAGCCGCCGTTATCATGACTGCCCCTCCAGATCCTCCAGCTCAAAATTCGCCTATCTTCGCGATCAAGGGCTTTACTCCTCAACCTCCACAAGTTCCCAGCAGGCAAAGTTCGTCCAGTAGATCGCTCGAGGAACTGGTAGAATTGCAGAATGAACTAGATAAAACAATCGCAATGCTCCGATTATTTTCTCCGAGTTCTCCAATTTCCTACTCTTCGACCTCCACTTCTCCGACCTCCACTTCTCCAAGCTCCCCCTCATCATCAAGACGCGATTCGAATCAGGCTGAAGAACCACGTCAGTCATCCTCCACTGGCGCGCGGACGGTGTCCGACTTTTCTTTGAGCAACTTCCCCTCCCCACCATGGTTGGCTCCTTCTCTTCCTGCATCCTCACCGGCTGTCAAATTACGATCGAAGGAAGACCGTCAGGCCCGTCTTCGGTTAGGTCAAGACTCAATTTCTGATACTCTTGGACTTCCGCTGCCAAGAATTCCTGCAGCTTTGGAAGACATACCTAGGTCTCCTCGTTCTGACCTCGCGTCAGACTCTTCTTATCAAGAAGATAACGAGGTATTACCTGCGGACGCCGGACGACCTCATAGGTTCGATTCTGGGGGAACGCAGTACGAGATTACGTCTTTCATAGGCTGCAAGTCTTGATTCCTGGATTTTCTGAGCGATTTCTAAAATATTTGTTGTAGATCTAACAACTCCTGATAGCCACAGGAATGCGATGGTGTACAAGCCTTCAGATGTGTCCGGAGAGAGTGCGCCCAATCTTGACGTTGCTGAAAGCTACGGATCTCGAGAAGCTTTCCCTCATTTGCCCATATCGCCTTTCCATCCGTCGCCTTTGGGGGAGGCAAGACTAATGAGATTGCCATCATCTTCTGCAAGACATAGGAGATCGCAACTCTCAATGCAGATGGAGTTATCGCCTATCACAAATTCTGAGGAAGAAGCTTCAGATCCGGACCTAGAGTCAGCCGTGCCTCTAGTACAACGTGGGATGCGACCTCCAATACTTCCATCCACGACGATGACCTCCCCTCATGCCCAGTTGTCAAACGTCAGTGCTGGTATGCGGTCATCAAGAGGGTTGACTGGCCTCCCACGAAGACCACGGCTCGCACCAGATTTGAGTGCTTCAAGGCCACTATCCGAAGATATGCATATTCCTGGAGCATTTGAGCGATCACAATCAACACCATTAATTTTCCGTTCAGACGACGAATATTATTCGACAGGTACAAGATCATGGTAGCCATATTTATTTCTAAGGTTATGTTGAGTTTTGACCTTCGCTGGTCGGAGATGTTGACAGCTAAAGGCTTTATTCGTGATTCCTGTAAATATGTCGTCGGACTCTTTGTGGTGCACATCTCACTGTACTTGATCTGTGGACTGTTATGATAATAGTATCCTCAGCTTGCCATACAGAGTAGTAGCATGTTGTCCCATGGCAAAGAAGTATTTTCATGGATCGCTTTCCCATACGGCATGAGTGCACCGACCAATCACTCTCATGCGTCTGGTCTGGAGGGAGTGTTTACGTTGTGAGTGGAAACAGGACACCAGCTATATCCGTCCGATGAAACTATCAACAGGGGCCAAGCTGCAGATAAGCATGTAGGATCTGTCTAGGACCCAGCCAGATCTAGTCCCAAGACGGTAACAAATGGAAGTTTTGAAGAAACAGCGGGATGACAACATAAACAACAGGTTGCGAACGCAGATGCCCATCCAGATCTGGGTGCACGCGCTCGTGATGCACAAAACAATTGTCGTCCTGACTAGTGATATGAGTAAAGATAGGCTGGACCATGATAGGATATATGTACGAAACACAGTAACCCGGGTTTATATATATCGACCTCGTGGGGATGGTTGTTGCTGTTACACCAGGGGTGCAAAAGATGAGGGACCTCGTTAGACAATCTCCTGCCGTAATGTTCTCGTTGAAGTTTTGGTAGTTCCGAGGCGATAAAAGGTGTCGGTGGCAGGACCGAAGCAGGTGCACTCTGGTCAAAAGCGAAGGTGCATAAGTAACCTCCGGGTGATACCAACAATCATTGTATTCAACGAAGTCAGGTGTTAAAATTGTGGTGGATATTTCACGGGGGTTGCACGTATTTGCGACCGATCAAGGGGAACAAAATCGGCGAAACGTTAGTGATGAGAAACATGACAGGTAAAATGTATGACCCGCAGTCACATGCATCAGCAGTGGAAAAAGGGATGACCAGAATCTAAGCTTTGACGGTGATCTGTTGCAACACTGGCTCAGAACCATGATCATATACAGAATGACTCAACAAAAGTAGAGGCTCTGCCCGTCGCCCGATATCTGGCAGCTTCCCACTGAAATGGTAGGTTGATTTTTTTTTCTGCACTGCGGTCGATGAAAACTGCCATGTAACGTTCAGTAACACTCAGAATAACATAACAGTTCCAAGATACTAACGAACGAGTCGCAACCTGAGTAACATGCAACAGCAGTCGAAATATGTAGTCTCCAAGTCGATAGTATGGGGTAATTTCGTATTAACAATTGTTGGCCGCCGCGTTAGGTGTTTCTTCGGCCGGGCTTACTAATGATGTAATTGATTTAACCCTGACACAGCGTAAGGAGCAAGCTTGGAGCAAGCACCTCATTCTCCATACCTCATATATACCTCATTCTTTTCCCCTCGACGTTCTTGATACTCTACATGTCGAGCTTTCCCGATTACTATGCGCTGCTCAACGTTTCAAAGACGGCCACCGCTGAAGAGATCAGGCAGGCTTATAAAAGGGAATCACTCAGGTGCTTTGACAGTCATGACTAGTAGCACTTCTCTACTTAACCATTTAGCTTTGCAGGACTCATCCAGATAGATTTGCCAACGCCACTGAAACGGAGAAAAAGACGGCGACAGAGAAGTTTCAAGTTCATGCAACGTTTCTACTGCCCTAGAAAGCATGTTAACCTACCAAGCAGGCTGTAGCCGATGCCTACTATGTTCTATCGGATCCAGCGCGACGGAAAGAATATGATGTACTATTCTCCTCGAAGCGGGCTGGGGATAAAACCAGTGACCCCAAGGCGTCTTCGAGTTTCTTCACGCAATTTGCCAGCATGTTTGGAGGTGCAGGTGCAACACCAACTCAAGAGCCGAGACCTGATGCTGAGAACGTGTTTGCGGACGTATTTGAAGAGGTTCTACTTCCACTTTCTCAGCGCTGTATATTAGTTAACTATTGTATAGCTACTCCGTCCAGAGGTCGAACGTCACGCGCCATGGTGGTCATACATTGGCGCCGTTTGTGGTGGTGGTTGGTCATTCATCTTCTTTTACAATTCTCTCAATGAACCATTCATTCATTAGGAATGGGATTCATAGTCGCCAATCTGCCAGGTCTCATGATAGGCGCATATGCAGGTAACCGCGTCGGTGCGATACGTGATGCCAAAGGTAAGAGTGTTGCTGCGGTGTTCTCTGAACTCGGAGGTAGCCAGAAGGCCGAGGTAAGCACTGAATTCGTGGACTCTATTGTGCCGTCTGACGAGGTCTAACCAGATCTTACGCGCTTTAGCTGCGAAGGTGCTAGGTGCCACTATGCAATAAACACGTTATAGTATGCGTCGTACCTATGTTCTGCTCTATATTTATGTTTAGGAACCCCGGATCATGTACTTCATTAGGGCACTGTATCGTTAGATTGTTTTACCCTCAATTTCAAGCTGCCGTTAGCGCTGAATGTCGAACGTTGAACAGAGGTCTGCACTCCACATCGTTTGTAACATCAACCACTCCACTCCATTCCATCCACAATTATATAATCTTATGATGACCTTGAAGCTTCGTCCACCCGTGTGCGTCTCGCGTGCCAGGGCGCAAACTTCAAGCCCACCGCTCCCCTGCGCTTGCTGAAAATCGATTTCTATATTTTATTTTTGAAACACCTTTTCTGCATCTTGCTCCATCTCTTACAACATACTACCAAGTTCCCCATCTCAACAATGTAATGCGAAACTGCATCATCATGAGGTAGTGCGATGCGTTGTCAACAAATGTCCATTTAAATCCGTGGCTGATCCTCTGTGTGTCGAGGAAACCAAACTATTGCTCTCTGGCATTATTGTACCATCTCTAAACTTCGTACATGCTTTGTTTCATTGCTATCATGTACATGCACAAAATATGTCCACTCACTCGCAAGTGACCTGTACCCGCAATGCTCTGACCTGGGTGGGTACGGGTAGGCCTCTGAGAATTTTGGCATCCACGGGTTGGGTGTGGCCCACCGTATGGGTATAACCCGGGTCGATCGACCCATGTCAGCCCACAGCGTACCGTGCACAAAGACTTGGATGTTATTTTGTCAGCAAAGGATAGACGACAACAAATTGAATATTGCACAAAAAAAATCTGCTATAGTACTAGATGCAAACTCACAGAATTTCCTTTTACAAAAGGAGCCGCGCAGCGGCAAGCACTTGTGAACTCTAATTATATCAATGATCTCCAAGTCAATATTCAATATCCAACAAAACACAGTCTCGCGCCATGATAGCCAGATATATAACAGGCTAATTAAATTTGGAGGAGCTTTACAGATGAGTGGGGATTGTACATAAATACTCAGCTGTGGGTATGTAGTGCCCATGGTAAAATACCGAAACACTTTATGAAAGTCGTAGGTGCTTTTGGTTCTAGACCTTCGCGATTCTGACCTGATCGATTCTCCGCCCCTCGATCAAGCCGCCACACAACCTATCAACCATACTATGCGCCAGAGCACACACCGATGAACTATCGCGCCAGTGAGTTTTTTTGTCAAATGCAAACAACTTATTATACTCACACAACGCGGCTTATCAGGACAGCAATCATCTGCATGTGCGCAGAAAAAATTACACTGCTCACTGTCGGTGGCAGCATCAGTGGCAGATATTGAAGCGGCAGCAACAGCGAGGACAAAGGTGAAACGCATTGTTTGTGGGGATGTGACAATAGTCACGGTAGTGTGGGCCCAGATAAGTGTGAGGAAAAGTAGGAAGACAGCTTGCCTTTATGTGCTGCATAAGATTGATCTCGTAAAGGAATCTCTACCAGCAATTTGGCCTGGATGGCATGGAACGACGTATCATCCTGTAAAGCCAACCCGCAACAAGGACTGATAAGCTACATAGGTTGACGCGGTCGTGAGGTAGCACTACTCAAACTAACGGTCCGAAGTCCTGGAACTATGAAGAGGAAAGCGCTGGCAGGTCAGTACTCAGTAATAATATCGGCCTTGGTTCAGTTGTGCATGAGTACTTACAATGATTTGATCAACGTGCTTGCTTATTATGTAAGCGATTTGCGCACAATACGCCATGCGCGACGGTTTCGCACGATCGCAAATCCTGTATTAAGTCGGTGAAACCTATTTTGCAAGTACCCACTGGTGACTTGTCGATCACCCTACTACAGCAAAACGTTTATTGTCTTCATCTGGTGCTCGTCAGTGAGTGGACTCTGGAGTTCACTTGCAATAGCCTTCAGGCTCATTACTGGTTCGCCCCCCACTTCACAACCCTAAATCACAGGATCAGGAGCATGCCATCTTTCATCACTTTCAAGTTGTAACGGAGTCGCATTTGAATTATGGTTCATAAGAGGAGTACGTGGCACCTGTTCATGAAACATTCCTTGTTGCATGAATGGATGAACTTTTAGGACGCTCCGTACTCGAGGACGCCAATGATCTCGATGCCACCAACCATACAATAGACCCATCTCCTGATATCGTTTGTGCGCGTGAGTTCGTATCTGGTGAACATTTCTTTGCTGGGAAATAATAACGTGTCAAAAGCATGCATTGTCTTATCAGCATCCAAAAATAATGGCACAGTGGCAACCTCTAGCCAACCACGTGTGCCAGACAACCTGACTATTAGCCTGAGTTCGAGGCCGCCTCAGAAAAAATTGAAGCACAAGTCTGCAGCTCGCCGTCGCTCAAACACTGATTTGAGCACTTTCGTGAAACAGACAACCGTCAGCGGTCGTGCTACTCGAGCTTCGTTCGTCTCGGTGCCTAATACATCTCTTCGGTCTGCAACTAGTGTATCGCCTCGGATGTCATCACGGTTGGCAAAGAAGATCCATCCTTTTATTCTTACAAAAAGTCGAGACATCTATCCGTACTTAGCTTCCAAGGATTCCTTGGACTCGACCGAGTCATTGCGAGAGGAGCACGGTGGCACAGGGAGCTCAACACCTTCAGCATCTACTCTCAAGAAAAAGATGGGCTCTCCGCGTAACATCAATTTTGACGATGGCACAAAGGCTGCGCTCATGGAAGAGTGGGCAAATCTTCGCATGTCTCAAGGAACACTGCTATCAACTATGAATGCAAGTAAGGATACAACGACGCACCTCCACAGTAATCGTGGAAGTCAGGAACCCTGCAACGAAGCGCAGATCCCGTCCGGTGAAGTGGCTGAACCCGACAATCCACACCCCACTCCAACCAATGACCACATAAAACATCCTTCCTGCTCCCTGTCTAACCAAGTGGTTGAGCCGCTCCCAGACTCGGATGCCCCTGCTACAAATGAGTTACTATTCACTCCCCCGCTCCCGCTGGGTGAGGAATTTACTCTACATAATAGTTTGTCAGATTGTGACTTACGGTATCCGAGCTCGTCACCGGAGAATGTTCATGCAGCGATTGAGGGTACGGCTCCATCGCAGTATGTTAATGAGGGGACAACGGAAACAATAGCCCAGGCTTCACATACCCCTGTCATCGATTCTCTAGAGGTTGTGGACCAGCCCCTCCAACTACTTGCTACCGACAGTAAAACGGTGACGTTGCATCCCCCAAGTAGTCCTATACTCTCAAAGCTTGATATCCTCCCCGAGACCACGATTTCAGCTGGACCTGCGGCCTCTGTCAAACCTGCAGAATCCTCGGGTAGAGCTTCTCCCGTCGATATTCAACTTGTCGTCTCACCTCAAGCCGATATCGATGATATTGTTTTGGGTTTTCATATGCTGGACCTGCATGAGGTGCTTTCGCCATGGGTGCCAATGTCTCCCGCAGCACCATCTGTTTACGTCCCACCTGCTGTGCAGCACTTAATCGCTGGTATTTACCTCATTTGCATTATTTTTGACCTGAACTAACTGTTTGCGTCGACTAGCCATGAACCGTCAACTAGAAATCGAATGCCAGCCCGAAAACGAGCTGAAGAGCTTTATCTAGATGAAATGCGTAGGCGCATCAAGATGGAAGAAGTGGTTGATAGATTACAGAGGGAACGGGGACCAGATACGGGAGCAAGATGCATCTCCATCTCAACAACCTCCCTCATTGCATGCTTCACCGCGTGCGGCTTCGACGCACGCGAGCCCAGAAGAAGCTGGGCAGTGGGATGGTGGACCCAAACCAACATCCACTGATACCACTTATCCGGATGTTACGACGGAAGATTCTTGCGCCTGAGGCACCGAGTCATCTCGCTTTCGATCTGATTCTACTGCTGTATCTCTGCTTTGTCGCAACCTATACGAACTGGACAATGGATAGCGCAACGTTCTAGGCGATCTTTCATACGGATCTAAAGTTTCCATTAGTAGGATCTTAGTCGCGTTGAACCTGCATACCACTTATCCCCAAATAACAATTCAGATACATGATTGATAAAATACACTTTCGTCGATCATAAAATAAAAAGGGAGCATTCTACAGAACAATTGATTCACTTCAATGGCAAAGAAATCTGCAAGACCGTAACTGCGGTATCAGCGTGTGTGCATTGAGAAAAATATTGCTGTTAAAAAGAAATAGGGATTTTGGATTCGAGTCCAGACGGAGGTGCATGCGAATACTATCATATGGAAATGAGGCATAATCAAAGACTTTTGAAAGATGAGATCTTGATAATTGTGGTTGTAGGGTCTGATGCGTCATCTAGTGCCACAGCTCGCCCACTTGAGAGTCTATCATGACAGAAGGGATATCACGAAGGGCATCGTAGTCGCCTAAACCTGCTGCACCGTTGGCTATTGCCAGACTAAGAGCCGCAATGGCCTTTTCAGTCCGCGAGGCAGAGGAGTTCAGAGACACATCTTCTTGGCTGGATGCAAAGGATGCGGCGGTGGGATGAGACGATAGAAAGATCGAATTTTGCATAGGACTGGAACGTGGTACCTCAAAGGAACGAGCTGGAGAGCTGAATGAAGGGCCAGATAGAGGTGGACTAAATGCCGTGGTATAAGCAGAATATTTATATGCTGGAGATGATGATGTTGAATGCAATGTGTCAGGGGGAAATGTGCTGTTAAAGGAGCGGCGGGAAAGATTGTCTGCATCGTCGTTGGAGGACGAAGAACGGGTGGATGCTTGATCCACATATTCTAATAAAGGACTAGACTGCATCTCGTCATCGTCCATGTCCACGGGCCCAAGGCTTGATGCTCGCTTTTGACGGGGGATGGGGAGACCGCAAAGCTCTCCCGAGTATATTTGGATATCATCCTCGTCACTATCAGAGCTGTTAGACCTCCTGACAGATCTGGTCACGGGGACACTAGGGGAATGCCGCTTCTTGCTTCTTTGTCTGTCGACGGTTCTAGCGCGCTTGTATATACCCGATTTTGAACGGGAATGCTCAAAATCACGCATCCGTTTTACAAGGCCTTCCCCGCTTACGGCAATACTTCTGCGGAGTTCCCAAAATGCATCTGACCTGAGGCGAGTAGCATCAGCCTCGGAAATATCAGAATGCGAGTCCCGGATGCCGACAAGGTTTGTGGAGCTTGACTTCTCAGATACGGTTTCTCTAGGACTCGAGCGGCCAGGGAACAGGAGAAAATCTTCTGGGGTAGTAGCGAATAGTGGTGTGTGGGGAGCAGAAGAACTGAGTCCGGAACTGTGGCTATCCGTCGACGTCGGGGTAGATGACCCAGTGGTATATGTCAAGGAAGGGGGCTGAAAACACACAAGATAGTTAGTGACCCTAGGATAGACGCTAGATATGTCATCGGCACGAACAGATATATCTCTGCGGAGTCTCTTGCCCGTCCGCCAGAAGTCGAAATTACGTGTTTGGGGGGATGCGGAATCTGGAAGAGCAGGACTATTGCATGATGAGCGAACTCGTTTGCTTGCTGGACGCCATGAAACTTTCGGAACGGGCGAGGGCGAGGGCGAAGAAGCTGAGAGAGATCGTCGGTGATAATTAAATGTTGATGGAGACGACATGAACCTTGAAGGTGTGAAAGATTGAATGGGACTTCTTCGTCGATGCTGGCGGTGATGAGGCCCGAATAAACAATGAAAGGTGGTGGTGGTGGTAGGATGGCAAAAGACTCCTTGACGTTCCGCGTCGGTTCAATCAAATGACATATCAGCTTATATAACGTGTGTAGCCAAACCCTTAGTTTAGCCATCTCCAAGAATTGAATTCGAACACATCCAAACATCACCGTCTTACCTGCAGGTACCATCCTTCTCATTTCAAATAAGTAAGTACATTGTACCAGCTGGTCAGATACGAGATGTGGCGTTACAGCTCCGTTGTGCACTGACAGATGACTTGGACGTCCGCGTCAGGGATGGAAAAATACGTTCTCCCTCGGTTCAGTGGATTATCAGCCGGCTGCATGCTATCAATTTCGACCAATGACGTTGAAAGAATGGAGCCGGTATACTGCGCATCAATCTTAACATTCATAGATAAATCTTCCATGTTGTTCATTCGCTTCAACGACCTCAGGCTCCCAGAATTTGAAATACCCCAGATACCTTCCTCGAAGGTGCCTCGTGTTGGGCGCTTACCTTTGCCCTAGAAAGAACTTGCGATCACCAGGAACAACAACAATGTATGCATCGAGATGTGGGCGGCATCTGAGAAGGCGTGGATTCGTTACCATATGCGTTCAATGTATGTGAGCGGTCTTAGCAGTCCAGGTCAGGGTGACGTAGCGGTCATGCGTGCCCTTCAGGTACCTGCCAAAATATTCGGTAACACCCGCCAGGGAACCCCTGTCCAACGTTGCAACAAAGACAAAGACACGCATCTTCATTATAACCTTATTCTCGGAGCGGCTCACCTGGCGGCAATAACGGCGGAGATTGGTTTATATTCGCAAGTGCGCTCCAGGTGCATCGAGACTGCTATCAAACAATGCTCATGGAGTGAGAATGGCTCTTACTGCGGCGGGATCCAGGCCTAAAACTTTGGCCCAGCTCTAACTCGCTAATGCTGCGGCATTAGAAAACCATTCTCTGATCAAGTCTGAATAACTGACCACGAAGTACACAGACAAGTTGAAACAGACCGTCGATGCGACATGGTATTATATCAATTGCCGGCGTAGCCTGAACCTATGTTATATGACATGGCTTAAGGAGGGAAAGTCGAAATCTCACTTGACGCAACTCCCCTGCGTCCGACGTTCGTGCAATCTATTTTTATTGCTTAGCTTTGCTTCTACGTCAGGTCCAAGATCCTACCTGATCCATTAAATCTGTCGCAGGCTTTGAAATTCTCTCTTCAGCCACGACGAGTAGTCATCCAAGTTGGGACAATCATCTGAACTTTGAATCCGCTGCAGCGCCGATTGGAGATGCGACGTCCACGGAGAAGACTGCATCACCATCGCTAAAGCAATTATCGATGAGGGATTTTAGGGTAGTATATTGAGGTTTGTGCGCACCAGCGTGTCCGTCTGCATGCTTCAGGAGCTGGGAGAGGGCATCGCATATCGTCGGATTGACAACAAGCGCAAGAGGGCTTTCGTCTCCCAAGTAGTCTTGCGACCCGACCATGAGGAGAACATTTCGTAGGTAGTCCCAGGCCTCTACTTGGGTAAGTGACTCGGGCAGTCGGCGAGATAATATGATATGCAAAGCAAATGCAGCTACAGTGGAGATGTGAGAACCTCGCGATGCATTCTTAATTTGACGCTCACAAGCCATAGCTAATTCGGGGGTGGTATTGTCCATGGCGACTTGCCAGATGCTTTCGGCATCAGACAGCAAAGGGGCATCGCAGACCCTAATTCCCGGTTGTCCGCGCTGGAATGCCGTCAAACACGAGAGGAAACTCGCGGACAAGTTCGGCAGTTCCTTTTTTGCGGATTCACGACGTAAATATTCCATCGTAGCTTCGAGGAACTCGATAATCAACTTCTGGTTCGAGATCTGGACATTTGAAAAACATTCGATCGTCAAAAAGTCGAGAAATTGTTTCGCTTTGCGAATATGATTCCTGTCAGGCTTGTCCCCGAGCAGCTGACTATGGAAATGTGAGTGAGCCACAAATATTACACTCGATGGAAGGCTTACATCCGAGTATTGGACATACCTGTTGCAAACATATTATTATTTGACAATTTACAAAATATAAACCTACTTTTCTCTAGCTCATCATAGAACGTTGGAGATTCTTGTATCGCCTGCTTCCAACCGTCCCTCAAACTTCTGGGCTGCATCCTAGCCATGGCGTGTGTAACGTAGTCGCTAGCTGACGTCGATCACAAGGCTGAGCAACAGCTTTAACGCAGGAAGAGTTCGACTCGCCATCGTGTCCGTTTTCAATGCACGAAAGATAAACGAAGAGAAGAGTAAGGTATCTGCAGCAATCGCTAGACTTGCGAATGCCTAACAAATCTGAATCGCTCCAATGGACGAAATACCGACATGTCTTCAAGTAGAACATCTGTTTGGGCTGTGGTGAGATTTCGAGGACGTGGAGCTGAAGAAAGATACACTAAAAGCCGAGAAAAATAGGTCTATAGCCAAAGCAATTAGAACATTAACAGTCATCCAGCATAACACTCACAAGATATGCACAGATCATATATTTGCCATGTTCGTCTCCAGTAAAGGTCGACAGCATAGATATAGTCTTCTGAGGATCTGAGTCGAAAGCGCAGTGAAGCCATGTAGTTGTCTACTCTCATCAATCGAAGTCCTTCGGAGAAGAAGATGGAGTCCTAACCAGAAAGATGATGGTTTCCGAATCAGACCCGTTACATTCCGCGAGTAGTCGCCAGGTCCAAGGTACAAAATGCCTCCATAAAATGAGAACGACCTGCGAGGCATCGAGGTCTGGGCAAGGCGATACGATAGTTTGCACCGAGAGCTTGCTGTCGACAAGCATTACAAAACGTAACAGTCTCATCACCGTCGCTAGCGTATAAGGTCGAAATGGAACGTCTGTTCCTGTATCTTTTGCACTTATCGTAAAGTCCACGAGCTGTGATGCATTAAATGTCATCGTTTCTGGCTGGAGAATGAGGAATACGAACAGCGAATAGTGAGAGCAGCATCGCACAATTCATGCGCTCCTGAAATGCAGATTGGTGTTGCGCGTGTAGTGGGGAGCACTCTGAGAGTTGCACCACAGTGTGTTGCATAAAGTCTGTGAGATAGGGAAGTAGCGACACCATACTGTTGATACAATCAGGTCTTGCAATGTTAGAATAGCCAGATGGACACTTACCTGCCATCCAGTGATACGTCAGCGGCCCTTGGATGAAGAGTCAACTGGGGTTGTAATACATATCGCGAGACCAACAAGCGAAGGGCCAAGCGCTTTGCGGCAGGTGAAGCTTTTTCAGATGTCAGTATCGACGGGACAGAATCCCACCTATCTGAAGCAACATAAAAAAGCCTGACATCTAACAAAATCGCTGAATACCTGGGAGCTGCGCCGCAGCCCGTAGATTATCTTCCTCTCTTCGTTTCCTCAAAGCTTCAGGAAGCTTATCGTCGAAGTAGCGATCATTCATAGCGCTCGCGACAAATGAAACCACCTCTCCGAGTCTTGCAAGGACGGCGTCCACCCAGGATATGATGATGGGAATGACTACGACTTTGTTGAGCTCCTGGACGGCTAGAGCGTGGAATAGGCGCCGGTACTGGAACAGCAGATTTAAAAAGGACGGTCGCACTGAAGAATAGGCACATCATGAGCGGAGCCAAATGATAGACAGGAAATCACCTACATAGACAAGCGAGGGATTCCATCATGCAGCGTACATTATGGGCGGAGGTTGGACTCATCGCAAGCACGACGTGCAAGAACTCTAGAAGTGAGGCCGATGACTCCTGAACGGTTCCATGTAAAGACGCGTCCTGTGCACGTTTGAGTACGATTGTTAGTATTCGTTGATTTCGAAAGCGATACTACCTTGCGAATGAGACTGAAATCCAAGGACTCTAATGTCTTGATGGCCGCATTCACAGCGCTGATGGGATCTGAGGAATGGGTTTGGGGCGTGTTCACTAGCTGAGCGATGCTGTCGCTCAGCGTACTAGTGATGGAAACATCGGTGAGGTCTAATGGGCATGCTTTCTTAGGTGATGAAGGAGCGTCGGACTCTGGTTCAGTCTCACTATCGGACATGGGATACAAGATGGAAGTAAACCGTGGTCGTCGCTCTTGTATTATATTTGCGCTGCGTGACACAGAATAAAGTTGCATCGAAGTCAGAAGCAGCACCGCGATCTTCGATAACCATGATTTCATAAATTTTATCTATAGTCCTTCAATGTCCTTTAAAAAAGCAGTAATATCAGACTTGCATTCTAAATGCTCTTCATTTTGCGAAAACACAGCTTCAAATGCTTCGTGTCCTTCAGCAGTCTACACCAAGTAATCAGCATCCACCAAAAAAGAAAAGAGAATGTAATACTTCTCCGTCACAAAAGTCTAGGTCTTGCCAGACCTCCTCTTCTTCAGCTCGGATAGCAAGCAGCATTTCACGTCGCACGGCAGATAGACCACCTTGCAGATTACCCTTGTCATCCGCAACTTTTCGCGCAGACACTTGAACCTCTTTCACTTCAAGCGGTTTTTTTTCTTTCTTTGCTGCAGTCTGTACAGGTGGTGGTTCATCAGGATCAGGCGGAGGACCATCGTCAGAATCCTCATCAGATCCAGCATCACCTCTCGAACGACGACTCTTTCGAGACATGACATCCAAGTAAGTCAGCGTCGGTCGAAATTGATGGGTTTCGTTGATGGGTTGCAGATGTAATTGACCTTCGTGCACAAGATAAGACCAAGCGGTATCGCCATAAATTGGAACAGACCATTGCGAACCACTCCCAACATATACGCGCCCTCTTGCGGTATCAGTTCGCTCCGCATGCGCACTTCGATCAACCGCGGCTCCTCTCCTTCCATCTGCTTCATCTTCCCAGTATCCTGGTTTTTTTCACAGTCATCCTCTTGTCGAGCAGCACCGAGTGATTTGCTCCGTTCACCATTCCACACCTCTGGGCGTGGATCCACTGGTACATGGATCTCTAATCTCCGCGTGATTGGCTTTATTCGTGCGCGAATTCGTTTTCCACTGACTGCAGCCGCAGGCGGTGTTTGTAATGGACGAGAAAGAAGCGGAAATTGGTGGATGTGCAAATTCGGACTGAGACTGTTTGAATAGTGGATAGGCAGCACGCTGATGAGCTCGTCATCGTCCATCGCGAGCCTCGAGCGCTTTAGTTTTGATAGACTGATCGTGGGAGTTTGAAATATTTACAGCTATTTGCAAAACACGTTGTCAGTATGCGTAAATAAGGAAATTAAAGAAAAGAAACATCGCCACAACCCGCGCCTGGACCAGCTTCGCGAATCAAATCTGCAACACCATATATCTGGTGTATCTTCGCATTATCCATGACAAGCACGCTCAATTTTCCTGGATATGTGAAGCCAACACAGTTCACAATCTATCCGATAGTGAGCAAATTGTATTCGAAAAGATTTACAGCGGGTCACGGCTGATTTTACGGTAAGGCCGCATGGTATTATGATGGTCCGTTGAGCCAGGCGCTGTTGTGGCTCTTATTCTCTCAAATCACGCGTGCTGACAACGTTTTTGCAAATAGCTGTAATACTTAGTGGGAACGGTTACAACAAATATTTACTAGTCACTACTGCCGACGCGACCTCATCAGCTCAGCTCAGTGGTAATGCAAGTGAATTGGGGATGCAATGTCTATGTTACAATATGGCTAGCTTGTAATGAAAGTTGAGCTTCTGGATCCGGACGTAGCGGTATACTAGGTAAACTATCATGATACCGTTGCTCCCCAAAAACCCTTTCCGTCAGTTTCGTATCGCTTCTATGACACGATGAAACATCGTCGGGGAAATAATCGACTTCGGGCGTGGGTGGATGAGGGGGCAAAATGGTATTAGGGCGGGTTTCGACTTGGTGGGGAGAGAACGTGTTGGAATGGGGATCTCCCCGCGAGGAACGGGAGGGGTCGCGTAGAGCTTCGGCATCATGCCGACGGCTCGTTGGATAGTGCCGGGTGCGCACTTGGAATGAGCGTGCAACCGATGATCTAGGAGATCTTACCCTCCCCTCCGCTGAAATCTCTGCGGTACTGCAGTCTGTACGAAAACTGCGATGCCAGACGTTCGGCTGCTGTAATAGAGCTTCGTTGTCGTGGCGGCGGATGACGCGACCAAAACTATGCATCACAAGACACGAAATCAAGGCCCCTGCATTGATGTGAGTTTCCAAAACACTGGATGTGGGCTTAGTGGACCAACTCACAGTCAAAGGTCATCCAAGCCACATGATCGGCTGGGTCCGTGCTGTTAACACCGATTATAGTCATTATGACTGAAGCGGCGGTGGAAGCGGTGATAAAGGTGGTGTAAAATAACTGGATGAGCATGAGCACAAAAGGTTGGAACGCATTAACCAAAAAGAGCTGCTTACTTCATCCCTCATTACTTCTTTGAACAGCGCTACTCGAGGCATATATCGACTTATGCGACTTATGGACGAGATGGCAGGAGAAGATGACCGGCGAGGAACTGGGGCATCATTGCGAGTATTTGGAATTGTGGTGGACACGCGGATTGTGGATGTGCGAGTGGATTCAGTAGGCAGTGGCGGGATGGGCGGTCTAGAGGGCACATTCTCCGGATCACGCACTCTTTCGCGGGTACGAAACTTGGGAAGACGGCTCATGGGAATGCTCCGGTCATGGGAGAGAGACCGAGTTCTACGGGATCTGGGGTAAAATGGAGTAGGATGATCTACAGTAGGGACATAATCCCACCAGCTACGGCGACTCTGAGTGGTCTTGTGACTCTCGATACTCTCTTTTCGTGTGTCTAGATGGGGATCTGCGACATTGTCAAGAGAGAGTGATACGGTAATTCTGCCCTGGACGGCGGTGGAACCACGTGATTTCCAGACAGCATAGAGAACTGTGATGATGAGTCTCGTTGGGGAGAAGTAATAAGTTTGGACTCACAGCAAAGACAGATGAACAGCGATTCGACAAATAAAAGTATTATGAAAGCATATGAAATGGAATTAGAAGGTCTATAGCAGCGGCCTGTTATTTAAATTTAGTAGATGAAAGTGGGGATAAGAAGAGATAGAAGAGGCACCTGCAAGGCTGCGATAGCTGTTAAGTGATGCCAGATCAAGAGCGAGGAGAACGATTGCAGCGGTCCTTAGTGCGACCAAGACTAGTAGAACTAAGCGAGAGTTGTCTAGACATCGGTAGGCCTTTACGCCTAGAATACCGGACATCTATGTTGTGTAGAGGTTAGGTGAGAAAGACGATAGATATGAATTTTAGAGCGTACCAACAAAGAGAAGGATATTCCTGCAGTAGCGACTGCAATGCGCATCATGCTGATTACATAATAAAGTCAACGAGGGTGTTAAGAATTGAAAGATAGAATTGACCGACATTTTGCAATCGAAATGAGGGTGAAATTGTGCGATGAGCAAGGACAAGATGGCGACAGGTGCGAGAAGTTGACTGAGGAATAGAGTGTATAGGAGACTCTTCTTGCGAACTCTGCCTGACCATAAGAAAGCAGCTGATAGAGTTATGTTCCTTGCGAATATGGTGAAGATGGATCCCATGATGACGAGAGAGAGGTAAGTAGCTGCAAGGTCGTCGAAGAATGATGGTGCTACTAGGATGGAACCATCTGCGAGTAAATGGTAAATGGATGAATTAGATGGTAGACTTGAAGGATCTGGTAGTGTTATTGTGAAGATTGTATGGGATGGGGAAGGGCGACTGTCCATAGTACTTGAAATTGTACATGAGGAGAGGGATAATACCTCCAAGCCCTTTGCTATAGGACGCGACTTCTCAAAAAGTGTAGATTGCCTTGATGACGGTCGTCCGCTCAAAATGCAAATATGACAGCATTTACAACCGATCATCGCACGTATACATAGTAGCATCCTTACATAATTCAATCTTCACATTATGCCACAACGTCACCCAGTCATCATCATCACTGGAACTCCAGGTACTGGAAAGTCAACCCATGCTCAACTCCTACAAGACGCTTCTCCAGTCCCTCTAAAACACATCAACGTCGGTCAACTAGTAAAAGACAATTCTTTTCATCACGGCTTTGATCAACAATGGCAATCTTATACTGTAGATGAAGACAAGGTCCGCGGACATTCAACATCATCCACTTGCCCATTCTCATTGGTTCAATTTAGCTCTTAGATGAACTCGAACCATTGGCATCAGCTGGTGGAATAATCCTCGACTGGCACACTTGTGAAATATTCCCTGAGCGATGGGCAGATCTAGTCGTCGTTCTACGCTGCAATCATACCATGCTCTGGGATCGTCTCGAAAAACGGTGCGTATCCCTGACCACAACCAAAATCAACCCAGATCTGACCCAATAGCAGTAATTATCCTCTCAAAAAGATACAGGAAAACAACGAAGCGGAGATAATGGAAGTCGTGCTCCAAGAAGCCCGAGACTCCTACCCCCAACAGATTATCGTCGATCTCAAAAGCGAATCTTCTCAAGACCTCGAAAATAACGTCGCGAGCATCGTTGAATGGATAAATCAGTGGTTGAAAGATAACGGTCACGAAGACGAAGACAACACTCTTTGAGGTAGCAGTCGATACATCGGTACCGCACGCCCTTTATAAATAAGATATACGTTATAGAGACTAACCTTGCGTAGCCTTTATTGAAAGTCTATCTGACACAATAAATAAATCAAGGGCCTTACACATTAATGACGCGTGACGTCACCCACCTGAGCTCACCTCCTCATGTATACGTGAAGCAACGTACTGCGG